TGTATTTGAACTACGTTCGACCTGAATTCTCAAGAATGAGATACGTAGGCGGCCTTTGTCGGCCTCGGTTGGGTTCTTTGCTTAAATTTTCTTATTTTTGTTAATCTTTGAGGGGGAACTACGTTTGACCTGATCCTGCCTTAACGGGATACGTAGGCGCCACAACGATTCGGTCATATCTCCCGTAAGATTTATATTTTTTCTCTTTATAATAGAAACTGGGACAAAATTTTTGAGAGGGACTCAAAAATTCTTAAGAAGAAGATCTTTTTAACAAACCAAGACTGAAGTTACTTCGAGATCTGCAGTTGGGACATAATTTTTGAGAGGATCTCAAAAATTCCGTAATTTGATCACCAACGGTTAAAGATAAGCTAAGACAGTTGACTGGGACAGAAATTTTGAGGATGGCCTCAAAATTTCAACAAGGTTCATCGGCAGGTTAGAGCAACTTTGAATACGTCCCAGCAAGTAATCAGACAGATCCCGAAACATCAACTCCAAAATGGCGTTCATCAAGCTTGACGTGATATGACACTTGGCAGTGACCTTTTCCAAATATTATTTTCTTGAAAATCTATTTTTTCTTAAAACTTTTCTTTCATGTTTCAATTATTTTGCATAAAATATTTTGTCTTATCTATCAAGAAGCGGGAGATCGAAGAAATCAACCGGAGATAGCAAGACAAGGAGGAGACAACCGAAGAGATCGACACAGATCAAGTTCATTTTAAACTAACAATTTTTCTGTGTATGCAGGTTTATAAGCTCGCCTAAAAAATCAGCATATTCTTCCATTCAATGAATATGGAGAGGTCAAAAAGGGCCAAAGCTCCCCAAATTGACAACTTTTCTGTGGATACAGGAAATATTTTATGCTTCTTATACCAAGAATTAAGAATATGAGTAGCATTACTTTATTCGAATTCTCAGCAAGACAAGGTTCATAATGAATATGCAATTATGTTCGGAGATGGGACAAATGAAAACTTTGAAGAGAGAAATATTATTATTTAGCAACTAAAGATACCTGGAAGATATTTATCTGCATTGTATTATCAAATATGATAATATTCTTACCCTGAAGGTTATTTATATTGTATTGTCGAATGAGACGATACCGCTACCCGGAGAGT